AAAAAAAAAAAAAATGAAACTCGAGCATGAGTAAAAACAAAGTATCTTCAAAAATTTAACTGAACATTACATAAAAAAAGAAAATATAATTTCACATTTTTAAAAGCATAAAACAAAGTGCCAACAGAATAAAAGAAAATGTTAAAAAAAAAAAAAGAAAGCACTTGCAATTTTATCACGCTAATAGAGCTGCATATTTCTTAATAAAGAGAAAAAAATTAGGGAAAATATTTAATTTGAAGTTTTGTGTGTATCTTATACACTGGGCCAATTTAAGAAGCCTGAACACATTTGTGACTCTAGGCTTTAACATACAAATATAGTTGATATATAAGAACGAACTTTATTATTGTTCATAATGTTGTACTGGACCGAGCGTAGAAAGTTAGCACCAAGACAAAAGTATGCCAGATTGCAGGGTCATTTATTATGCCGGCGACCACAGAGGACTCACGTCTCTCCAACCTGTGGGGTCGAAAGGAGGGTGCCAAGACTTTTTATACCCGAAAAACCACCTTGGGAGTGGGGATGAGGAGCGGGGATGGAGATGAAAAGGTTTCGGACATTCCAAGGGCCAGGGGATTCTGTAATTCACCTCCTGGGCGGAGAGGAGTGTGGGTGTCTCCGGACATTCCAAGGGCCAGGGGACTTTTGTCATTCTGTTTGTTACTTCAGTGGTTTACAGAAGTCAAGATAAGCATTTGTTTACACACAGATCTTAGTTATCCTGGGCTGCTTATTTTAGTTATTACCGGTAAGCAAAGGCTAGCAATTCTGGCACAATATCACAATAACACTAAAAACAAAAGGCATCTAAATTAAAAGCTGGCAGCACTATTAACTAATCCAATAAAAGACTGAATTTTTTATTCCAGGGCCACAAAACTTCTCCCCAAGAAGCATCTCCAAAGGACCAGTGTGCCCCGGAAAGCACACTGGAAATCAAGGTTTGGAGAATATAGTTAGCTGAAAAATATATTATTTTAATACTACATATGTTTTACTCTTCAGGGTCAGTAGCGTTACACAGATACTAATACAAAATAAACAATTCTTAGAAAAAGTGCTTCCTATAATAAGTAAACGTAAAGAGGCAAGCTGGCTTAAAAGTTAGGGTCAATAAAAACTATCATGGTGATTAAAAGCAGAAAGATCTTGACTAGCTTCTGGTAGCATGTCAAAACTGCAACACTGACATCTAGTGTTTCATCCTGATGTATTCACACACAAATTGCCGCAGATTTCATGGTTTTTCAATGGTGCTATAAAGGCAACCAAAGCAAGCCACAACACTTCGATTGTGTAACCCACTCCAATTCTCCACTTCAAAACCATGGCTAATTTTCTTTGGTGCTTTTCTTACCCAGCTTGTCTACAACATGCTTAATATGAATACACAATTAAATCCATGAGAAGTTTATAGCACCATTTTATACAACCTGCACTCACCCCACCAATTAAAAAAAAAAATCCAGAAGAATTCCCTTAAGTCATGGTTTTTATTATTATTTTTTGAGACGGAGTTTCGCTCTGTTGCCCAGGCTGGAGTGCAGTGGCCTGATCTTGATTCACTGCAACCTCTGCTCCCAGTTTCAAGTAATCCTCCTACCTCAGCCTCCCCAGTAACTGAAACTACAGGTGCGTGCCACCACACCCAGCTAATTTTTGTATTTTTTGATAGAGATTGGGGTTTCACCATATTGGCCAGGCTGGTCTCCTGACCTCGTGATCTGCCCACCTTGGCCTACCAAAGTGCTGGGATTACAGCATGAGCTACCCCGCCCAGTCTATTTTATTATTTTCTTAAAGAATCTCTATCTCAGAGGTTTTTTTAATCAGGCATTCATTGCCAAAGCAAATGATGACATTCAGTATAAACAAATTAAAAACTGCAAAGTAATTCGGTCTCCCAGCATACTAAAAGAAAAAAACAGGATTTACTTCTAGGATACCAAAGATTATCAATATGCAAATCAGAAAATAGAACTGGCTCAAAATATTATTATATCCTAATTAAATGAGATTTTAAAAAATTTTCCACTCACTGATCTGTAACAGCAGAAGCAGATATATCCAGGTGTCTGAAGCAGATATATCCAGGCGTCTAAGGGCATAGATGGAAATCACTAAATGAAAAATGCCTTTGAGGTCCTGTGTGTTGCCTTAAACATTAATTTTGCATTCTACTATAAAAATCTGGAAATTAAAGGTCTACAAAGGATGCTTACTGAAGTAATGACTAAAAGTTCCAATCATGGCAGTATTCTCTATCAAAGCTGCTCAGTAGCCACAGCCACAAGGGGCTATTGAGCACTTCAAATGCAGCCAGCACAACTGAAGAACTGAATTTTTATTTTCTTGAATTACCTTAGATTTAAATCACATGTGGCTAGAGTCTACCTTATTGAACAGAGCAGGGCTAAACCTCTGACGTACTGAGGTAGTCATAAGGCATTTCTCATCTCCTGCTGCCTTTTCCCCCAAACCTC